ATTAGAACAAGAATCATTACAGTGTTCTCCACTATCAGGACCCTCTGCAAAACAGAGGCTGAACTCCCCAGAGATCCAGTTGGCAGTTGTTTTGTCTCTAATTTTAATGTCCTACAGAAAAGCTTTGGGGGAAGGGACGGGTTTTGCATACCCAGCGGTGCTCAGGTGGACCCCTGGCTCAGTGTGCAGGGGTCACTCCTGGCAGGGCGTGGGAACCCAGAGGTAATATTGTAGCTAGAATCTAGGGGTCAGCCATGCACATAGCAAGTGCCTTGCCACGGTGCTATCTTTCTGGCCCCAGAAATACTTTTTCTTTAAAACATTAAGCTAATAAATTATAGCTGAAAAATATACTTCAATTTCCAAAGCAAACTCCGGCATCTCTCCTAAACAGCTGGTTTCAAAGTATGAGCCCATCTTTGCTTAGCACCAAATTAAAGGATTTGAAAACAATGAGAGCCCAGCAATCGCAGGCAGAGGCTGGAAGGGGAATGAGAACAGGCATGAAACTGGGTGAGAATAAGACTGCTGGCAGCTCAATGAGCCCTTACGTAACCCACAAGGAGAACAGCACGTGGGGTCACTGGAAACCCCCCCATTTCCATGACCTATGACTGAAAAGTAGGCCAACAGATCCATGAGCCAGGTGTCCTGCTCTCATGCCTCAGTCGTTGGGGTATCTTGCTCAAGCGGAAATGGCACACACCGATGCAAGTTTTGGATCACGTGGATCACAGTTTTACACCACATGATCGATCACTTTTGCACAAGGTGAAGTGATCCTCACATATGTCTCTCTTCTCAGCAAGTCCTAGAAGTCGGCCATGATCTTCCCATGCAGGGACAGCACAGCTCCTAGGTCTCTCAGAATGAGCGGTTAGGAGAGCAGAGGCTTAGGAAAACCAAACAAAAGCAACATGAAGAAAAGACAGAGAGTGGGGAGGTAGGGAGAAATGAGAAGACAAAGAATTCTCATGACAGTTGCTGGCAATGGAACATTCTAGAAGAACGCGCTCGCCTCTGCTAACACGGTTCCAGGGAGGACACCCCAGAGGTGTTTGGGTTGTAACATAGGCCCCAGGAACCTGATTCACTTTCCCAGCAGAGGCGAAGCCACTTAAAACAGAACAACAAAACCACAAGCGTGATCTGACACGTGTTGTGTGGAGGCTGAACAACCAAGCTGTAGATTCATTCAAACAGTCACAGTTTAAGTCTGTTTACAGCTCACTGCAAACCACAAATGAAGGGGGCGGCGCCAAAGGGCTCCAGGTGCCCGGTGTGTGTACTGGGGGGCAGGGGGTATGTGGGAGAGGGAGCCCCAGGCCCCTGATCTAGGGGCTCTTCCCTGCCTCTGCTCTTGTGAAGATGCTACAGAGATTTCAGACACGGACAGGCTGTGCCCTGCTGACCTCGGCCACAGGGTGTGACTTTCTGACACAGAAATACAGCCTGGGGTGGAGGCTATCTCAAAGTACGTCACGAAAAACTCGGGCTGGACATCATGGTACAGCCAACGTCAGAGCAGCTGCCGACCAGAAGCAGGTTCTGTTGCGTAAATACCACCGTGCTACCACACATCCCAGGACAGATTCCAGGGCCTCTCATCCTGTTTGCTAATTCGTTATATCAACAACCAACTCAGCATGCTACAAAAACACAGCTGATTTAGCAATCTGCAAGTTAGACATCTACATGAGTTTGTACCAAAATGTGTGGTGTTTCCCTCCTGCTCGCCAGGGTGGGTTCCTCAGGCCCCTTGGGCGGGCATGGTGCCGCCAGGGCTGTTTCAGCCAGAATTTCTCCAGCTTCCTGGCGAGCAGAGCTGCCGGCCTTCCCAACTTCGGCAGGCACCTGACAGCAAGAGCTGTGAGTCTGAGCTTCGAACACCAGTCGGCCACCACCCTCCCACATGTGCAGACACAGACAGAGCAGGTCTCGGTCGGTGGCCACAAGGCTAAAAATAGGACACAATGCCCAGTATGACCACCAGCCACATCAAATCTGATCACGTGTGCCACGACCGCTATCAAGCCGCAAACAGTGGGGCCACCGTCAGTAGTCACTGGGCTCAGAGGGGGTCCATGAAAGAGGCTTAAGTCTTGTGTCCTTTGGACATCCTGGAAAGCAAAGGTGTTGTGTAGTGGTGGGAGGTCTGGGGGACTTCCAGGCAAGTCATGAGAGCGAGGCTTAGTGGCAACGAGGCCTCCTAACCTGTTGGGTCCCCGAGCTCCAGGCCGCAAACCCCATGGCAGCCTCCCTGATCTGCAAAGGTGGAGGCCTTAGCCTGGGGGCAGAACCTGATGACACAGCCCACCCCACTGCCTTGCGCAGATCTGAGACACCCGAGCACTTGAGAACAGGACCTGGCAAACCTGGTGAGAACTCAGCGCGCGTCAGAGAAATTCCATGCTTCTGTACAGAGAAAATCCACTTCCCTTCTGCCGTATTACTCTGACGGGGCATGGTCCCCAAAGGTACGAGGGGCCACCCAGACACCCCCAGCAGAGCTCAGGAGGCCGTGTGGCACTGTGTGTTGAACCAGGCCGATGCATGCCGGGCCTGGTGTGCCCTACGGTGTGTGGGGACGGGGCAGGGGCCGGGGTCTCACCAGATCTGGGTCTCACCAGACCTTTGAGGGAAGGCCTGGCTCTGCTTCCCTATGGCAGGATGAGGACAGTGAGCACACAGAGAGGAAGCAAGGGCCCAGGGCAGCCCGTGCCTGACGCTCCAGCCGCCACACTCCACACCCAGCCTCGACAGCCCGGTTCCTATGCTTTTTGGGTCACACCTGGCGATGCTCAGGGGTTACTCCTGGCTTTGCATCAGAAATCACTCCTGGCAGTGCTCAGGAGACCGTATGGGATGCTGGGAATTGAACCCGGGTCGGCCGCATGCAAAGCAAACACCCTACCCGCTGAGCTATCACTCCAGCCCAGAGCCACTCTTGAAGGAGAAAAGAAACTGTCCCAGGGCTGGAGAAGATGAGTGATGGCCCAGTCGCAAAACGTCCCAAGGACTGGGTTTCCTGAGCAATAGAGACGAGCACCTGCAGAGACATGAGCTCGTGGATTCTATTTAGAGGAAAGCACTATTTACTTTGGGACGTCCCGAACCAATGCTAGTGGATTTTAGCAGGAGACAATCAATATTTTTCAATAGGGTTTTTTCCATCACAGCAAAATAATGGCAATCGTGGGGTGCTTCCCAGTCCCATCGTTCTCCTACTTAAGCCAGGCGCTATCACAAAAGGGATTCATAAAAGCTGAGTGTCAGACTGGAATGAATGCCTGCCTCCGAGGACGGGCAGTGGGGAAATGCTCCCACCTCCAGCACGGTGTATGGGCCTCAGTGGGGGCTAACTGGGAGGGAGTAGCTTTTTGATGTTCTGAAGGAGGGGTGACTGGCTAACGGAAGTCAGGCTGCTGGTGGCCGAAATCAAAGTATTGCACTAAAAATAGCCCAATTTCCTCCTTTCACTGACTTTCTTTGCTGCATGGGGAGGCTCTCGGCCCAGCCCAAGGGGGCAGTGCGCTCTTCTGGGCCCAGAAGTCTCCTTCTCCTGTGGGGTATGCGCCAGGTCCTCTCAGAGGAGCAGGAGCCCCGGTAGAGACCAGGTCGCCCAGATGTGCCAGCCAGACATTCATTCCAATGCAGGCGATACCAGAAGGCTGTCAGCCAAGACCCTCTTCTGCATTTATTAGGTTAGTTGTTCCTCTGTTTGTGTTGTGTCCCTGAACTCGGTCAACACATCAGAGCTACTGAGGGGCTACCATGACCCGCTCAGGGGCCCATGTGGTGCCAGGAATGGTGTTTGGGGTGGCTCCCAGAGAGAGCCGGTGCCCCCCCACCTTCTGCTTGGAATCAGCTCTTAGATGACGAAGACCCTCCTGCCTGCCCAGGCTCTCGAGATGGTCACAATCCGTTCCTGCCCCGCGAACGGAGACACCCACAGTGACGCAAACATGTTAGGGGCCCCTGCAATCCTGACCACACAGACAAGGGTCCCTCTAACGCACTGAACTTCATGCAAAGCCCCCAGGTCATAGTTTCCGGTCATTTCCTCAAAACGTGCCTCTGGCCGTGGCGTCCGACCCACAGGACAGAGTCCAGGCCGCCGGCACCTCCTGTGGGAGAGGGATGCTGCGTTCAGGCATCCCTACCCGCCTCCCTGTGCGCAGGGTCTCCCTACCTGCCTCCCTGTCTCCTGTGCACGCAGAGACCAGAGTCAAGAAGGGCGGGGGCAAACCTCCAGCACCCCTGCCAAGAGCCCGGCACGCAGGCTTCTTCCTGGGAGCGTGCGGGAGCCATGCCAGCACACTCGGTGCCGGCGGACAGGCTGCCGAGACAGACGCGGGTCCCAAGTACCTGCAGCCCCTTCCCCCCGCCCCCGGCAGCGGTGAGGGGCGGCCGGCTCCGAGGCATCCGGGCGGCGGTGCGCGGGGCTCCGCACACGCAGACCGGCCCGGTCCGCGCGCCCCGGGCAGCGCCTTGGGCTCCCGCTCCCGCGCCGGACCTGCCCGGCCGCGCCCGCGCGCTGGGCCCCGCGCCCGGGATGCTGCACCCCCTCCCCGCGTCCTCGGACCCCCGCGCGCCGGGCGAGCGCGGTCACGGCGCGGGCAGGTCCGTGCTGTGGCCGGCGCCGGCTCCCTGCGCCCCCCGCGGCCCCCGACCCCCGCGCCCCACGACCCCGAGCCCCGCGCCCCCGCGTCCCAAGACCCCCGCGCTACCCGACCCACCGCACCCCGCGCCCCGTGCCCCCGCGCCCCGCACCCCCGCACCCCGCGCCCCACGACCCGACCCCCGCGTTCCGCGCGCCCCGCGCCCCCGCTCCCCTCACCCTCGCACCCCGCGCCCCCGCGCCCCACGACCCCCGCGTTCCTCGCGCCCCGCGCCCCTGCTCCCCTCACCCTCGCACCCCGCGCCCCACGACCCCCGCGCCCCCGCGCCCCGCGCCCGCACTTTCCCGGGACTCGCCAGGCCGCCCGCCGCCCCCTCACCGTTGGAGCGGCGCACGATGTTCTCCAGGAACGTGTTCTGCGGGGCCACGAGCCCCCGCCGGCCCCCGGCCACCGTCATGGTCGCGGCGGGGCTCCCGGGCGCTGGGCGCTGCCGGCTGCTCGCGCCCCATGCGCCCCCCGCTCCTCCGCCCGGGCCCGCCGCCGCCTCCGGCCGCCGCGCCCGCCGCAGGCGCCTGGGTGGGTGGAGGGACCGCGGCGCGGCCGGGGTGCCCCCTGCCGGGCGCGGCCGCCGGAGCACCCGGGGCGCCCGGGGAGGCGCCAGCCGGCGGGCAGCGCCCCCGCCTGGCCACGCCGAGGAAGCGCGCCCAGGGCTGGGCGAGGCCCCCCCACCCCACCCCGGGGCGTTTCGGCCCGGCAGGGGGGCGTCCGTGTGCGGGGTTTGGCGCGCATCCTTTCCACTGCCTTTCACCCAGGGGCCGGCACGATGAGCCGCCTTTCTCTCCTGTTCCAAGCAGAGCCCCAGGACCCCCAAGACTCGGGGTACCCTTGCCAGTTCATGAAGTCGGGCCCTGATTCAGCTTCAGCCGAGCAGCATAGGTAAGGCAGCCCATGGCCTGGCACGCCTGGCTCACTCCTGAAAAAATAGGAAACTGAGGTTTCCAGAAGCCCACGTCGCCACCTGGCTCTCTGCTTTAGTCCCTGTTTGGAACCCGGGAAAACCCACTTTTCCAGGGATGGGGATCGCAGACAGTCACCAGGGGCATCCTTCTCACAGGTGTAGGAGTCATCTCGGGGTACCCCACCTTTGTGCCATGTGCTTTAGGGCACGCTTCAGTGTGATATTGGAAGGCTGGGAACACTCAGCCGTTTCCCTGCAAATGGCTGAAACCCAGTCTTCCTTCTCTTAGCTTTCCCATGCAAATCTGTCCTTCGGTAATACCTTGGATGCAACAGGAGCACCTGTAGGTGCTAATATGGGTGATCCCACCAGGTCAGGCTGCAAAAAGGAGCAGACTGAGCCCCGTGGGCTGAGTGCAGGTACTGACTTCTGAGCAGAGACAACAGCTCAGAGTTGTCTCCCAAAACAAATGCAAAACCAGAAGTTGTCTCTGAGTGAGGCACAATGCCCACCACCCCGCCCAAGGTCAACCTTAGACCCCATGGAGGTACTTCCAGCCTCCTGGTCTCACGAGGGTCCTTTCCCTCAGTGTTTATTCGCAGGCTCTCTACCTCTCTCTGCATGCTTCCGGGCTGGCTTTTCCCAGTTTGTACCCCATCAGGGAGCCACAGGGGAACTGAGTAGACCCTTCTCTTGTTTCTTCCAGACAGCTCAGCCTCTGCCCCCCAACATCATAGGCAAAACCTCCTGGGGTATCCCCATGTGCTGAGCCCCATCGTGCAGATGGTCCCAAGGGCAGAAACTTTGTCCTGGTACCACTTCTCCGCTTACAGGCAGATCCTGGCAGGTTCCACGGGGCAGCAGGATGGCTACGTGCTGTCCCCACACAGGGAGCCACAGGAGCTTGGCCTCTGGGTGGGCGCCAAGATCGTGTGAGACAGGTGAGGCAGCACAGTCTCCGGGAGGGCGGGGGGATGCGCAGGGTCCATCCTGGGTCTGAGGGAGCAGAGCCCAGCACGGCCACCGCCAACTGAGGCTCCATCCCTACAACCAACCCTGTGGTCCTGCCCATCCTAGCGTAGATGGAGTGGGGTGCTGAGAGACTTGCCGTTCTTGAGTGATGCTCTTTCTGCACAGACATGCCCAGGGGAGCCCCCTAGTCCTGCATGGGTGCAGGCTTCCAGAGTGTCACGTCCTGTAGCAGTGGCTGAGAGGAAAGGAAAGGGGATGGGTGGTGGAGATGCGCCTGGGCTTAGTAGGCTTGACAGAGACGAGTGGATGGAGGGAGGTGGAACCCCTAACTCTGGGTGCCACAGAGAGACTGGGGAATCTTTTCAGCACCCACGCCTGCTGGGCAGCCCTCGAGCCTGCCTGCCTGTGGGATTGAGGCCAGGGTCTCTGATTCCTGGCAAAGACAGCATCTATTCAGAAATCACCCTATCTTTTGGGTGCCAGTTTCTTGCCACCACCCTCTCCATTAAGAATTTTCCCCCCACCAGAAAGGAGCCCTTGAACATGCTTGTCAGGGTCTTTATTGGCCATCACACTGGAAGATGTCACCTTAGTTAGCTGAGAGGACAGGACCCGACCTGAAGTGCTCACATGCCTTTTCTCCCAGCCCCACAAGAAGCAGGCCCAGGAGAAAGGGCTACGCCTGTGTCTTTAACCTGAAGACGTAGCGTGTCTGACGAGACTAACAAGGGACTGAGTGGTTGCCTGCACCGCAACCACTTCCCGGGATTGTCCTGGATCTTTCTGGAAGCCTGTGTGCTCCGCCAATACTGGGGCAGAACTGGAGGTGCCCAAGGAGAGCGGGAGAGGCACAGGGTTTGCAGGGGGCTGGTCGCCAAGGAAACTTTCTCCCACTGCCCAGAAGCGGAGATGCCAGGTGGGCAATCTGAGGACAAGGCCACCTTAACTCCTGCCACGCCCTTCAGAGGTGCACCCCAGCCAAGCCACAGAAAGCACGGGAAGGGTTTTTAAAGAGAAGTTGCTCATCCACTGTTGGTGGGAGTGTTGGCTGGTTCAGCCTTCACTGAAGCAATGTGGAGGTTTCTCAAATAAGAAACTCCCTTATTACCTGGTGATTCCACTTCTGGGCATCCACTCCAAACACACACACACACACACACACACACACACACACACACAATTTTTTTCTAGAGGATAGGTGCACACCGCATTCATTGGAGCACTCAGTACAATAGCCAGGATTTGGAAGCAATCCAAATGCCCAACCATGAGGGGAATGGATCAAGAAGTGGTATATTTACACAACAGAATACTATGCAACTATAAAAATGGCGAATTTATGCATTTTTGCCACTCTCTGGATGGAACTAAAGGGTACCATGCTGAGTGAAGTCAGTCAGAGGGCGGCTCTCGTATAAGGCAACAGGGTCAGGAAGCGACTAATGGCAAAAGGCAAGAGAGTCAAGAATCGAGAAGAGTCCAGGAGAGTCAGCAGTGCTTGTGGAGGGAGCAGGCACTTGGTGGCGAGTATGGTGTGCATGAAACTATCACTGACCAACAGGACTATGAATCACAGCACCTCCATTAAGTGTTGTATCAGTAATTTTGAATATTTGAAAATGAAACAGAGAGGAGAATCAGGATTTGGGGATCTGACAGTGCAGCAAACTGCCCCATGCAAGAACTCCCAGAAACAGTGCTGCTTAGACCTTTGCAGAAGGCAGGAACCAAGCAAGAGGTTGGTCTGGCAGTTGGGCACAGGTTGCTGAGGCATCGCTGGACCTCCCAGAACCTTGGCTCTCAGCTTGGAGGCCACCATGAGGCCCTGCAGGGCACTTGCCTGTCCCTGTGATGCAGGACCTGTTTGTACCCTGAGAGCCCAGAGGATGCAGTGGCCTTCTCTGCTCCCAGAGCACAGACACCACTGGAAATGGCTGCTCCTTTTGCCCGAAGCGCTGCACTCCTGAGGAACTAAGTCGCTTCAGGAACTGTGCCTGCCTGTGAGGGCCTCTGGGCTTCCTCCCTGCAGAGGAAAACTCCCATTATGACTCAGCACAGGCCAGGGAAAGCCCTGAGGGAGCTGGGTAGGGTGGGTGTTGCAGGGACCCTCACCACCTCCAGAACATAAGCCCTGCATGCGCACACGCGTGTCAGGTCCCCAAATCCTGATTCTCCTCTCTGTTTCATTTTCAAATATTTGAAATTACTTATACAACATTTCATGAAGGTGCTGTGATTTACAGCACTCTTGGTCAGTGATAGTCTCATGCACACTACACCCACCACCAAGTGCCTGCTCCCTCCAGGAGCACTGCTGACTCTTCTATACATGCATGCCCATATACATTTGTATGTACATAAAATGGGCTGAGCCTTCACTGACCAGCTGGTGGACTATCCAGACAGGACAACGTGCCCTCCAGGGACCACCCACACCATCAGCACTGATAAAGGGGGCGCTTCCTTCTGGGAAGACTGAGCTTCACGTCGGAGAAGTCTCAGGAAAACAAGAGCTTAGGCGAACAGTGTGGCTTAAAGCCTGTTGCTGAAGTCTACATGTTTTCCAGGTTATTATTGGAATCAGTCACTAATGGTACAAGCATGTTTTCCTCTAATTTTTTTTTTTAGTTTGAAGTAACTTGATCGTGATTTTCAGGCATTACCATGAAAGTTAATCATCACATCTTAAACAAAAGGAAGTGGATTATGCTCTCTTCAACAGCGCATGGAATGGCACAGGGAGGGTCAGCGTGGGCATTGGACGGCACAGAATGGCACACAAATTCAGGAAGCATCACAGAGTCTTTTCAAATAAATTTACTCTGCAATACTGTATAGGTGCTTGTATGCATGCTCACACCACACACAAGCACACACACACGCACACATATACATATGCACATATGCACGCACACGCACACATGCACTCACACAGACACGTACACATACACATGTACGCACATGTATGAACACACACGAATGCACAGATATGCACACACACATGCACACTGGGACACATGCATACATGCACACACACATGCACATACACACATGCACACATACACACGCACACATACGCACATGCGCACATGCACGCACACACTCGTGTACTGGTTCTTCTGTTTCTGGAAGAATAATTCTTAAATACATCATCCATCCACACTCCTGGGAAAAAAATGATTTTGTTTAAAAAATATTGGTCACTTGGGTCCGGAGTGATAGTGCAGCGGGTTGGATGCTGGCATCCCATATGGTCCCCCAAGCACTGCCAGGAGGAATTCCTGAGCACAGATCCAGGAGTTACCCCGGAGCATCACTGGGTGTGGCACAAAAACAAAGACAAAATTGATCACCTCTACATTTCAATTAAAGACTGTAGAATTTAGGTCAAAGGGGTCACTCAGAGGACTGGGCACAGGCATAACATGTGGGTGGCTTGAGTTCTAACCCTGGCACTGCATGGTGCTCTGAGCACTGCCAGGAGTGACCTGGTGCACAGAGTTGAGAGTTGCCTCCCTGAGCACTGTCTGTTATGACTCAACCTCCCGCACTGCGTGGGAATTCATTCTACAGAGCACTGTAGAATTCATGAGGAATCTATATCCTTATTCCTATCACATGTGTGCATAT